TACCGTTTATGTCAGCGACGGAAATAATACAGACATCCGGCAACAAGCACTCACACCTGTCAAGACGTCGCATATGTTGCAATCGAATCGGTCAGAGGTAAGTCTTTTGTGCGCTAATTTGTTCCAAAAAGTAGACAGACGTCTGAACAGTTTCGTCATTAAGTACAAAAATGATTGCCATAGTCATACAACAATGAAGCCGGGGTAGTAAAACTTTTTGCGACACAATGTTAATTTTATTGCTTGTTTTATAAAGTAGAACAAAGCATCAAACAATCGGGGGAACGGTCGGCTATAGGAGAGAAGATCAAATCGTATGAGTCCGGGCGAACGCACACGGGCGACCAACCGGGGCGGGACCGACCGGGGCTATCTTGGTGCTAAACAGCCGGTCTTTTTTTCACAACTTTTATCATCGGGGCCCCGGCCTTGATCCGGATCACCCTTGCGTTGGTTTTTGTCCGGGCCGTGCGTGCCGAATTTTGGCCGGGGGAGACGCGGTACCACCTTTACGCGGTAATACGACTTACCGATCGGGACCACCAGGCCCTGTCCAAACCAAGTGTCCACGTCTCTAGTTGAGTCACTTTTCGTGGGAGGGACTGGTTAGTCTCGAGCCTCCACGAACGCTCAAATTCGTGCGGGCAAATGTGCCCTCTTGTTTGCCCACGCTAGTGCGTCACTCAAACAGAAGAACAGTATATCGGGAAGTAATCGTACTCAGCATTGTTTTGCGTTGCGTTATGCAAGGGCACCACTCGCGTGGATTTAGATAGTTCAGTATAATGTCCCTTTTCCTCTTTTGTCTTTTCCACGGCAACGGGGTCCTTTCTGACGGGCCGGTTTAGTGGCTGTACAGCCTTGCACTTTTCTTATCTAATAGGTTGGAAGGGTAGAAGTCTTCGTTAGACCTGATAATATTGTAATCGCAATTTCTTTAGAATGAAATTTATAAGACGTGTTGTAATTCATTGGCCTAAGTTTCAATTGGTAATTGATGTCAGGCGCGTTGACACTCTGTCTGAAGCTACACAGCGGTAATAGTATTTATAAGTGTAGTATTACATAGTATATAAGGATAAGACTCAGTGGAAGAACGTCAATACGTCTTCATAATAAAATTCGTTCGTGTATTACAACTGCTTTGTGAGATCATTTACAGTTATTTCAGTATAGCAACAGAATCTGCCCCGTCACTATAGTAAATTTGTAACAATTACATGCGTAAGTTTGTTGAAAAAGAAAATGGTCGACATAAGTGGAACGTCCCACGTTGATACACGAAAATAAGGACCTATTTCACCAAATTAGTACCTAAAATTCAAATTGCAGAAATTATAAACAAGATTCATAAGTAAGTCCCTTCATACTGCGAAACCGCGACAGTCACGGAACGGAACAACAACAACTTACCCAGTTTACAAACGATTGGGGCGCGGAAAAAATACACTCGCGCATGTTTTGACCGAACCAACTAATTTGGTCGCAGTCGTCCTACGGGCGAATCACTCTCGCTAAACAAAACCTAATCTATTTGGTCCCATTGAGTTTTATAAGGTCCAATACAACTTGGCCGAAAGACATCATGTCCGGGAGACACTGGTACGACATCCGCAGGGCTTATGGTAAAAAGCCCGAGGCCTCATATAAGTCCCCATATTAGTCGTCCGCTCTTATGAAAGCAGACGCCCTCTCTAAACATAAAAAAAAAATGTTTTTTTTTAAGTGTAAAAAAAAGCCTTTTTTCCTCATAAAAGTGTATTGGTGCGAGGCTTAGCCTCTGTGGCGACTGTTTGAGGCGCACAATGTCGTCTTTCGCGTCTTTCTCCGTAATGATAATGGCCGTACAACTATAAATACATACGCGAAAGAAGACCCTCATCGAGCGTTTTTGTAATCTTCTGATTTTACCGCACCAGGCAGACACTCCCATTGACATCCCCAGACGCAATATACAAACCCTTCCCTAAACACCTACCGGACCCCCCACCTAGCGCCGACCTAGCCCCCGACCCTACGTCGTCGTTCCCATCGCATAATCAATCCGACTCCGATGAGTTTGACAATAAGGTAACGGACTCGTGGTCATACAAGCAAGGGTGTAATGAGATAATAAAATGAGATGAGACTAATGATAATAAAAGTGATAAACTCTATTTAATTTTTCGATTATAATTTTTTTGTTAAACAAACGAACGACGTTGATAAAAAGGGTTCGTTTCATTCTACGTTACAAAAATTAGTACCCACATTGCAATGACAAATTTGCCCCCGTGTTATAATTTTCGTACCCGAGAAGTAGTACCCGTTGAACTGTCTGTCGTACTTGCGAATCCGACTCGACTTCGGAATGTCGTAAGGTCCCCCCCACTCGAAAAAGTCTCCACACCACAAAAGGGTGCGCACCCGGAATCCGGGTCAAAGAATAACGTATAAACCGTGTTAATAAGAAGAATGGCAGCAGGCTTAAAAAATTTTACCAAAGGGTTGTGTCGACTTCAGAGCCGAAAAACACCCACTTTGCTCCCGTCTGTGGTTTGTACTTGTTTCACTTTTGTCTAGTTTCTGAACAGATATGAGGAGCTGTGAGCTCTGAGTGCTAACAGCTAATGGCTGATGTTGGTTTTCTAAAGATGATGTCACGGCTCCGCCTACACTGCGTTACTATAGAAACTACCCAAGTTCCTAAACTGTAATGGAAGCGCAGCATTAAAGTGAGCCGGGCCTAACATCTCTAAACCCTTTACAAAATCTATCAATCAATACAAAAGTTATATTAAAAACGTTTGATATTTTTTGTAAAAAAATAATTAAAGCTGAGCAGAGAAGAAGAACCAAGCAGTGGGAAAACAAATAAAGAAAGAAAAATACAAATACTTCAAATGTATTTTAAATTACTTGAATAAATGTACTTAGTTACATTCCATCTCTGGCCTTTTATGTATGTATGTACCAGACCTCCTTCAGTGTATAAATCCAATTTACCAATGATGATGTATTTGAAGATGTAGGAGTAGTTGTAAGGTGCGGCTGTCATCTTGATACTGGAAAAGAAAAAAGAAAAACAGGAAAAGAGGTGTGAGTTCATGCACAGAGTCCACATCAGATCACACTTTATCTGTGAGTCAGCTTCTCATTTGCTGACATTGAATATCCTCAATTTGTTTGCCTCTCTTACTGCACGAATGTGCATTGGACATTTAAGGCAGTCTGGGAGCTTATTTAAACCCTTGCAAATTGTAGAAACATTTTTATAAATGTAAAAATGCGGGAAAAAAGGAGATTCTACATATTTTGACACAACTAGATCACATAGGATCAGGTCCCTTTGAAAACATAAATCCATAAATGTCAAATCTGGACTAGATTATCACAAATACTCGTTGAT